AATTGGATCAATTGACGAAATAACAGTTAAATACCCAACGATTTAGAATAATAACCTTGTATTAAAAATGGAACAGGAGCAAAAAATGGAGTTTTTCGAGGTATCTGGGCGAGCCGTTCGTTCTTGATGAAGCGGCTTCAAGAACAGAATCAAGACGGAGGGGAAGAAGACGATACATTAACGAAGAATTTCAAAAAAAAAGATTATTTTTTTAAAAATATAATAAGTAAAACTGATCTTTTTATGAAAATACTAGGAGAGATACACGTGCATTGCACGTGGTTATTTGTTCGGCTTATTTCTTTAGTATAACTTGGTTGTAAAAATGTTTCTTTTAAATCTCAACTTGATGATGTAATATTATATGTGAACTTTCTTAATACTTACATTTATGTACATTCAACTTTTATTTTATGTGTCATTGTGATCATAAGCAATGTAAGCTACAAATTATTGGAAAAGATTATTCACTTATAAACCATGAGTAATGTAAGCTACACATTATTCAAAAAGATTATTCGCTTATATAGCAATTAGTTTCTTCAATGCCTCAAATCTAATAATAACAGATGACATAAAATTCTTATGAAGTAAAAAAGAAAAGGAAAAAAAATATTCTGTCTTAATCCCTAATGACTGTAGAATAAGAAAACCTATCATCATTTAAGAAAACATCTCCATAAGTTTGCAAAGATAACCACATTGAACTATTAGGTCGCTCAATTCTTATTATTTTAAAACTAATTCATCAAATCATTGAAATAGCTATTACATCCGCAATTCTTAAGTTATTTTGATATCAGATTCTCCAATCAAGAATAAAAAAAAGCAATTAGAGGGAAATTAGTCCCTCAAATTGCTAATTATACCGTTGATTTGAATGACTAATTTCAAATAACTTAAGAATTGAGTTACCTAATAATAATTTCAATGCTTTAACAGACTAATTTCAAAATATGAAAGATTTAAGGGACTACTACAAAAAATACTTCAATTAATTAATTTTTGTTGATAATTAATTAATTCTATATATAATTTGACATCAATCAATTGGTTAATATTTACACGTGCAATGCATATTATGTTTACAATGCTAATGTGCTCTAAGATTCTTTCTGCTCTTTAGTTGTTTACTAATTATAATTAGATTAATTTTTATTAATTGGTTTTGAATTGAGGGAGCTTTAATTCGGGAGTTTAAGCTTCTTTATACTCTTTAGTTGTCAACCAATTCTAGTTAGATTAATTTTTTTATTTATTACTTTTTGAATGGAGAGAGCTTTAATTTAGGAGTTTAATTTTAATTTATTAGCTTTAGTTGATAACCAATTATAATTAGAATAAGAATGTCAATATTGAAAAGGATTAGGGGTAAAATTGACCAATAAAATTTTTTCAAGAACTCCCACTTTTAAAGGGAGTATGATTAGTGCAAAATATTGACTTTAAGATATATGACTAGTAGTCTCGTGTAATTAGTGGTCGCTACTTACTTAATCTAAAATGGTCGTCTTGTGAATTTAGTGCTTAAATGCTTAAGCTTTAATTAGCGAGAACTAAATACACAGGATTACTAGTCCCGTATATTTTAAAGTCAAATTTTTGTAAAGTCGGCATCATTTTAAAAAAGAGGTTGATCTTGCCAATAATTTAATAAAACGGTTAATTTTGCTAATTATTTTTTTAAAAAAAAGGTCTTTTTAAAAAAAATTCTCCTAACTTATCCTGGATTAACTTTTGCCCCTAAACCCTAAACTTATAGTTACTAAAGTCACAGTGGATCCACTCTAATTACAGTTACATGAGATTATTTTGGAACTGAGAAAGCTAAAATTAAGGAACTTATTTACTTCTTTTGCCAATGGTACTCCGCTGAGAGCACAGAAACTATTGGAAAAAAAAGGCTAAATTGCACTTAAATGCCCTAAAGTTTCACTAACCTTGCGTTTAACTGATCCCTATTTTAAAACCTTGCACTTAAATGGCTCAAAATACTTAAGTGTCATAGACAAATATCTCAAGTTTTAAAACATTGTATGTTGGTGCTTTCTTGTTTATTCAATGTTGCACCTTGGCGCTCTTTTGTTTACCCAATTTTGCACATAAATACTCACAATTTGCAAATAGTTTCACATGAGATTATTTTAGATCTGAGAAAGCTAAAATTAAGGAACTTATTTACTTCTTTTGACAATGGTACACCGCTGAGAGCACCGAAACTGTTGGCAAATAAAAATATACTAAATTGCACTTAGATGACCTAAAGTTTCACTAATCTTGTGTTTAACTGATTCCTATTTTAAAACCTTGCACTTTAATAGCTCAAAATACTTAAGTATCGTAGAGAAATGTCTCAAGTTTTAAAACATCGCATGTTGGTGCTTTCTTGTTTATTCAATGTTGCACCTTGGCTCTCTTTTATTTACCCAATGTTGCATATAAATACTCTCCATTTACAAATAGTTTCACTTAAATATTCTAAGAATAAATTTTAAAAACCAACCATTTTTTAATTTAATTAGAATTTTCGACTTGTTTTACTTTTAATTAGCATTTTCGACCCCAGTTTCAGCCACCTGGCTAAAACTGGATCGAAAATGCTAATTAAGTTGAAAAAACTTCACGAGATTGGGAATCGCATGAAGTTTAGCACAAAATTAAGTCACGCTAACAATGATTAGAATCTTCACGGGATTGTCAATCCTGTGAAGTTTTCTTTCATTGCAAACTTCACAGGATTGAAAATCTCGTGAAGCTGTCGAGTCTGCAAATTATCTGTCGAGCCTGTGGTTCAGAAAAGAGTTCAACTCTACATGGTGCAATGCTGCTTCATGGGATTGCCAATCTTGTGAAGATTCTAAGCTTTGTTAGTATGGCTTAATTTTGTGCTAAACTTCACGGGATTCCCAATCCTGTGAAGCTTTTTAACTTATTTAACATTTTCCACCCACTTTTAGCCACCTAGGTCAAAAATACTAATTAAAAGCAAAAAATGTCAAAAATTCTAATTAAATTTAAAAAAGGTTGGATTTAAAAATTTATCTATATTCTAAAGTTTTTAGAAGTTTCACTTTAGTATCATTTGTTATGTGATATTCTTACATAGAGAACAATTAACGCAAAATGGATCTTTCTAACTATATGACATTCATTGAAAACATTTATATACTTTGAAGATTTTCTTTGCTCGGTTGTAAAATGGATATCAGTTAACTGCAAAATTAGTGAAACTTCAGGGCACTTAAGTGCAATTTAGCCATAAAAATACGTAGTTGATATCTACTCCTTTACACTTAAAGGAGAATCTAGAGAATTACTATTTATGCTACAGTAAATATTATAGTATAAACAGTAATTTGAGGTTACTATTCATGTACAACATTTACTGTACTATAACCAATAAAGCAAATTATATGTATTAAAACTTGGATTCTAGTATAGAAGAGTAGATATAATTTCTAAATTAAATGTGTTAAATTTTAGATTCTTTTTTAAGTATAGAGGAGTAGACATATTTTTTAATTTTAAGCATACAATAATTAAATTAGATTATATTATACTCCCTTTAAAAGTGTGAGTTCTTGAAAAACTTTCATTGGTCAATTTTATCACTAATCCTTTTCAATATTAACATTCTTATCCTAATTATAATTGGTTATCAACTAAAGCTATTAAATTAAAATTAAACTTCTGAATTAAAGTTCTCTCCATTCAAAACTAATTAATAAAAAATTAATCTAACTAGAATTGGTTAACAACTAAAGAGTATAATGAAGCTTAAACTTCCGAATTAAAGCTCTCTCTCCATTCAAAACCAATTAATAAAAAATTGATCTAATTAGAATTGGTAAACAACTAAAGAGTAGAAAGAAGCTTAGAGCACATTATCATTATAAACATAATATGCATTGCACGTATAAATATTAACCAATTGATTGATACTAAATTATGAAATTAGTTAATTATTAACAAACATTAATTGATTGAAGTATTTTTTGAAGTAGTCCCTTAAACCTTTCATATTTTGAAATTAGTCCATCAAAGCATTGAAATTATTATTGTTAGGTACCTCAATCTTAAGTTAATTGAAATTAGTCATTCAAGTTAATGGTATAATTAGCAATTTGAGGGACTAATTTCCCTCTAATTGCTTTTTTTTACTCTTGATTGGAGAAGCTGATATCAAAATAAGTTAAGAATTGTGGATGTAATAGCTATTTCAATGATTTGATGAATTAATTTTAAAATAATAAGAATTAAGCAACCTAATAGTTCAATGTGGTTATCTTTGCAAACTTATGAAGATGTTTTCTTAAATGATGATAGATTTTCTTATTCTACAGTCATTAGGGATTAATATAGAAGATTTTTCTTCCCTTTTCTTTCTTACGTCATAAAAATTTTATGTCATTTGTTATTATTATATTTGAGACATTGAAGAAATTGATTGCTATATGAGTGAATAATCTTTTTGAATAATGTGTAGCTTACATTGCTCATGGTTTATAAGCAAATAATATTTTTCAATAATTTGTAGCTTACATTGCTTATGATCACAACAACACATAAAATGGAAGCTGAATGTACATAAATGTAAGCATTAAGAAAGTTCACGGATAATATTACATCATCAGGTTAAGATTTAAAAGAAATACTTTTACAACCAAGTTATACTACAGAAATAAACCGAACAAATAACCATGTGCAATGCACGTATAATATTAAAACTTAGGAAAAAAAAAAACAAATTCAAAATGCAAAAGTAACCTGTCTGACGGTGCACACTGGTCGGAAATAACGCAAAGAGACGTAGGAAATGGACTTGTAAAACCCAAACTTCCCACTTTCCCTGATTTCCCCGCAAATACCAGTACTCTCGCGTTAGCTGTGTTGTGTGTCACCGGTCCAGCCCTGAGCCCAGATGCCGACGTCTCCGAGAGCAGAAGACATAACGCGACTCCTCCTCCTCCCTCTCCTCAGAATCTCAGAATCGGGTCGCCCCGCCGCCCCAACCGCCGCAAATCGCCATCGATTTCATCCCCGACTTCGGCGGATCCTCATGGATCGCGTACGGCGCCTCCTCGCTCCTCGTCATCTCCCACTTCCCTTCTCCCCTCAACGATTCCGAAACCCTAATTGGCCCCTCCTTCCAACAAGTCATTGATCCTATTGCTTCTCCCTCTTGCTCGACCGCCGACGACATCGTCGCCGTCCGCTGGAGCAGCGCTCGCCCCTCCGACGGAGAGATCACGGCTGCGGTCGGGGATTGCGTGTTCTTGTTCTGTCCTGACTCGGCTACTGCATCAGGTAACTTAGCTGTTGTGTAGCTTTGGTTTGTGCTGCTTGTTATCTTTTCCATTGTTTGGTAGAGAAAGCGAGGAGCTAAAGTTGTTTATGGTAAGTGGGGTAGCCAGGAATGAGAATTTGAGGGGGCGCTCTCGTTTCTTCTCATAATTAAAAAAAAAAAAGACTATACCATAATCACATTTGATAATATCATTAACTTTTTTTAGAGAAAGATGCAATACCTAACTCGAAATTCCCATCTAAATATTATATATGTATAATCAAAACTAAATACAACCAGCTATCAAAATGTAGTAACACCAAAATGATATTTACAAACTACCCTGACAAATTGCCATTTTCTGGAATCGTTGCATACTTGTGTTATTGTTAATAGTATCAAAACATCAGGTTCAATATGTTACAAAGCAGTCATTCATCCATCGATCTCCTAACAATTACTTAGTCTAGTTTTAATAATATCCCTAAATGAAATGACTACCATTACATAATCAACAAATTAAGTTAGAACATGATTATGTATATATATATATATAATATATATCTATATATAGTAATATATAATATATAATATATATATATATATATATATATATATATTCATTTGATTGGCATGCTCCACAACTTAAGGGTAAGGCTTGACGCTAGGGCAGCCCGGCCAGGTGGTTGTTGTGTTGTTGCTGGTGTTTTTTTTCTGGGGGTTTTTTCGGCAGGGGGGGTGGGTGGTGGGTGGAGGGCTCATGCCCTCCTGACCCGCTGGCTCCGCGCCGGTGTTTATGCTACATCGAACATAAAATTTCTCTAAATGCGTTATTGTTGGGATTTTTTTGTGTGTGTGTAGTTAAAAAAGAGTGATGGATTTGAATAAAAACTTGGGAAGGATGCATAATAGTTGAAGCTAATTCTTGACAACTCCATTAAGCCCATGTTCATCTGCCTATTGGCCACAAAAAGCCGAACATCTCAGAGCTATCATGCAATTTGGCATGTGTAAGCAAAAAAGAGCAAATAATGTAAAAATGTTTCGAAATGAATTAGTGTTGTGGGATTTCATGTGTTTGTGTGCGAGTAGCTATGTTACCCGGGTACTTCAATCATGAAGCCGTACCCGTATCCAACACGTACCCAAACTTCATAGACACCCCTTGGATGTATGCATAATTGCATACCTTTACCCAGACATGTACTCAATTATAGGATATATATTTTAATTTAAAATACTTGTCATACACTTCTTGGACCTATATCCTACACTACATGTCCATTTTCTGAAACTCTTTAGACATGGGTCCGATTGTTTCAGCCTATATTCAAATTAAAAACTATGATTTAAAAGGGTGGTTTGAGTGTCTAGTTAAAGAACTAATAGTTTCTAATTTATAATAATTAACATGGTAAAAGATAAAAGATAAAAGATAAAAGATAAAAGAAACTTAAAAATATGATACGAAATTAATTTCAAATAGCACATAAATTGAAAAATACTAATGATCTCATGTAAATCATTAATTTTGATAGATAAGGTAGTGATATAATTATATATATATATATATAATATAATATATATATATAATATATATATATATATATATATATATATATATATAATTAGTATATAATAGTATATATATATATACTATATATAATATATTATATGTATATACGTATATATATATAATAGTATTATATTATATATATATATCTATATATATTATATTATAACTGAGTGTGTTAGTCCGTGGTCCGTGGTACTACATTTCACAATTTACGCAGTGTCCATACCTATATATATATATATATATAAAGTATAATAGATTATATAGATAGTTACGATATATATAGGAGGTATCAGGATAGAATAAGATGTGTCGTAGGTCGTGTCCGCTTACCGCTACATTTCACCAAATTTACCGTGTCCCGTACCCGTACCCGCACCCATATCAGTCCCGTACCTGTTTCCATGCAACTTAGGTGGGTAGTTAAGAGAGGGAGGAGGGAGGGATGAAGGGACTTAAATAAAAACTTGGAGTCAACACCTAATAGTTTAAGCTTGTGGGTTAATTTTGGTAAATTAAGTGCATTCTGCCTATTCGCAACAAAAACTGGCACACCATTTGATTTTTAAGAATCATATTTGACTAGATATATACAGTTACTAAAAACTAGTCATTATTTAGTCTAGCACTTGATATATATACTCCAGAAGTTTAAAAGTTTTATATATTGATCCCTTTTGATTTTGATAGGGTTTACAGCTAGACGCTAGACCACCCTTAAGGGCCTTAACCATGTATCCCGGTATTTTTTTTACTGAGTTCTCTGGTGTGTTAGTCCTTAATTTGGCATCACGTGAATTGGGCAACCTACATTTACTATTTGTAAATTCTGAAATACCCAGGCTTTTATGTTCATGAAGGCGGAATAAATAGTAGCCTGAGCTCATTTGGTTACTCTTTTTTGCGGTCAAGTATAGAACAAGAAGGGCATGTAGTTTACTTGTTCATTATTTTATTATTTATACAGAGAAACTAAATTTATTTTATCTTGGTACTATTGTTTGAGAAACTTTTATGAGTGAGAAGTTTGATGTTTTTCTCTCAATTTCTAATATGCCCAAATGTAATGCTTCTCTGATGTCTAGGGTCATTCTGCTGGAGACAGACTGCAAGCCTCCTACAGTCTTCTGAAGTAGAGGCCATTGAATGGACAGGTTCTGGTGATGGGCTAATTGCAGCTGGTACTGACGTGGTTGTTTGGAAAAGAAAGAATACATCATGGGAAATAGCATGGAAGTCAAAAGCTGATATTCCTCAAGCTCTGGTTTCTGCAACCTGGTATGCTGAAGGACTCATTGCAACAGCTGCAAACTTATCAGTTTGCTGTACTGATATAAATTCCAATTGTTCTTTTTTTAGAGAAGATTGTGCTCGTGTATCAGTTTATCATAGTGATGGAAGATCTGGGTCTGTGAAGGTTCTATTGTGCCATCCTCAGCCTGTTACCATGATTCAATGGAGGCCCTCCACCATAACACGGTCAAGTGAAGATTTTCCAGATTCATGGAGGGATGTGCTGTTAACATGTTGTTCAGATGGAACAGTAAGACTGTGGAGCGAAATTGACAATGGCAGAACTAGGAAATACAACAAGGGCACACATGAACACAAGAGTGCCAGATGTTCTTTCCACGTTGGTACTGTAATTGAAATGAACCAGAGCTTGGGCGGAACTCTTGGCAAGGACATATTCATAGAGTGGGTAATAGAACTTGGCAGTGTAATTTCTAAATTAGAAGGAGATAGTTACTGTCTATCATCAGCTAGTTTGGAACAGGATCAGATTGGCAAGTGTGAGTGGTTGATCAGTGTAGGACCCACGCACACTCTTACTTTCTGGGCGATCCATTGCCTGGATGACATGAATCCATTACGATTTCCACGGGTGACTTTGTGGAAGAAACAAGATTTAAAGGATTTTAGGTCATACAACCTTTCCGATACTGACTGCTCAAATGTCAAAGATCAATCTATCCTTATAAAAGCTGTTGCTTTGAGGAATCGGATGTTTGGCCCTCCAGTTGAATGCTCCTTTGTTCAGTTGTTACCCAATAATTCAGTAAGTTGGTCACAGTTATATAGCCCAACCAAGACTTCTGAGAACAGATCCTTGGGTCAAATCAGTAAGGAGAAAAGTCTATCACATTTTGCAGGTGGAGTTCTAAATCAAGACGGGCATACAGGCATCATTCTGGAACTCTCTATTCATCCATACTGTGAAATTGAGCTTGCTGCATCATTGGATTCACACGGGGTTCTTCTCTTCTGGTCCCTTCCTACGATTTCCAATTGGACCTTGGGCATGCAAATGCTTGGTCCTACGTGGAAACCGATAGGAAGAATCAGCTCACAAGATTTGTGCAATGGTGCCAAATATTCTAGTTTGAGGTGGGCACCTTCAGTTTTGGATGATAACTTGTTTCTACTTTTAGGATATATTGACGGAATTGATTGTTTTCTAATTAAACTTGTGGAAAAAGGAAAGAAGATCTTATGCAATAAAGTTTTCACGGTTCCATTTGCGAGTCATAGCCATGGGGAAGGTCCACCAGATCAACTTTCTGTTATACCTTTACCTTCCAGCTGTGGGCGATCATTTCTTTCTAATGGCTTCTTGCTGTTTGCGATATGGACAAAGAAATTACAGGCCTTATCATGGAAAGTCATATTGCACTGTGCAGATCCATCTGGAAGCAGTTGTGGATGTAGCTCTGTTCTGGGAAATATTGCTGTTTCTGGAAAGGACAGGTTGATAACTTCTGCGGGAAAATTCTATGCCACCGTTGATTTGGGTTCATCACTATTTCCAGATGAACACAATTTAGACCATATTATCAGTATTTCTGTAACTTCTCCAAATATGCTGTCTGTTCAACAGCGCATAGCATCCTATGATGTTCCATGCAGTAAGTATCATATGGCTACAGGCTGTTCTGATGGGACTGTAAAACTTTGGAAAATGGTTCATGCGGAATCGAGCAATTCTGAGCTCAAGTTCCTTCCTTGGGAGCTTGTGGGTATATTCGCTGCACATGAAGGCCCAGTTAGTGCAGTTTCTCTGTCGTGTTGTGGTGGTAAAGTTGCGACTGTCAGTATGAATGATAGAAACAGTACCACCAGTCTCCATATCTGGGAGCCAATATGCCTGATAAGTGGTGGGGATTTTCTCTTAGAAGATGCAATATCCTTGATTGGGCCTGTTACTGGTTTAAGCTGGTTATCCATAGGGAATGGCCATTTGCTGCTTGCTGTCTGTTTGCCAAATGAATTACACCTGTATTCAGAGAAGAGAACCGATCTATTTCAGGAAAGATCAGGAAAGTCCAGAGAGATGCAAATTTGGTGCTGTATAGCACTATCCCATACTTATCCTGCTTCTCGTGACTTTTCATGGGGACCTAAGGTGACTCCTGTGCTTATTCATGACAAGTATTTTTCTCTCTTAAGTCAGTGGTTATTTATAGCAGAAAATGGAAATCTTCAAGAGGACAAGGGGAGATTTGTTGGTGCAATGGATCAAAGCATAAATTTTCCTATTTTTTCAGAAAGTGACATTTATGATACTAAAATATCATTGAAAAAGGGTAACAAGGAGAATGGCGTAGATATCAGCACTTTATTTCCGGAAAGGTTTCAAGCACACTCAAATTTTGGTTCTGCTTCAGGAATCAGGATACATAATCTGCTAGATTTAGCAGATAGATTGTGTGAAACATTGCCAATCCATCACCCCATGTCACTTCTTCAGCTTATGTATTCAGGTATTATTTGTTTCCAGATGATTATAGGCCTCATACACCTTGATTCATGGTTACCTTCGGTAACATGCTGTAACCTATTGTTCCTGGATTTGTGTTGGAAAGGTGAAAAGAAATTCCACCTTTTTGACTCTTGCGAATATGCTTTTGCTTTTTTTTAGAGGGGTTTAGTTGGCTACATGAAAATGGAGGTGAAAATTGAGCCACCACCAACCGATATCGAGGGATATCAAGGGCAAAAGGTGTTGAACAATATGAAACTGATAGTATGAAAGTAGCGGGCTGTCTAGAGGCTGATGTAGGGAAAATACTGTAAGGCATATGAAGTTTTAGAGGACAGAAAATTCATGGGTCCACATGGGAGACAACTTTTCTCCTGTGTCTTGAGAGTGAGTCACTTTCATTATTTCACCTCCATTCTCGAATTGCCGAATACTAGATGAATAATTTGAATTTGTTTTATGCTTTTTTCTTTCCAACTAATCTGTTGTTATGTGTACACATGTAACTCATCAGTCTCGTCTGATCAGCATCTTATAGCCAAAAAAGTAAACTACTAAACTGAAAAGGTAAAGTGCACCAGCGAGCACTGTTTTAAAAAAATCGGCCGATAATCGATATTATCGGCCGAGTTATCGGATTTGGTAGCTCTCCGCTAGGATAAATTGGATTTTTAATCAGTTATCGTTTTTCTAGGTTTATCGGCGATTTATCGGCGTTATCGGCACTTATCGGCCGATTAGTAAGACTTTTTTATCGGGATTATCGGCCCATTTTGACTAACATTATATTTTTTCAAGGCTATGATGCAAGTTTCGCTTTCTACAATTGGTTAATGATTCTAAACATGATGATTTACATTTTGGTATGTTTATATTTCATTAAGCATGATTAGATTACATTTTTTAATTGTTATATTATATATACACATCATCCAGTATATCACTCCGATAAATACTACTTCTCCCCGATATATCCCCGATTTCCGCTATCCGATAAGGATTTTGGCCGTCCGATAAACCCCCAATAACCGATATTTTAAACCTTGCCAGCGAGCTATTGTGCAGTACCTAGTAGAGCATTTTACAGTTAGCTTTTCAAGTCATGTTAATGATTCTTCCGACTCTGGCATAACGAGTTTTTGGCATGTATATACGTGATAATTTAAATAAAATTGCTTTGTTTTAGGCTAAATTGCATGGTTACTGGTAAGGGTATGAGTATAGGACATGGCAAATTGGGAAAAAGGTAGGGTACGGGGCCTCGTCTATAAATATGTATGCTATGCTATATATATTTATATGTATTAATTAATAGTTTACGTAAGATCAATATTGTTTTTTTCATGTACATGAGATCAATAAATTAGAAATAGATGTGAAGTGTGTAATATACATCTAAGAAGTGTATGAGGAGTGTTTTAAATTAATCATGTAGTATGTAATTGAGTATACACTTGAAAAACGTATGGATATATTCAAGAAGTGTCCAAGAAGTTTGGGTATGGATATGGGTACGTGTCGGGTGGGGGTACAGCTTCCAAATAGAAGTACCCAGGTAACATAGGTTTTAGGTAAGTGAATCTCTTGCTTTTTTTCTTGTAGGAAAGGGGTTCCAATTCCCCCTCCTATTTTCTCTTTTTCTTCATTCATGCTGACGTTTATGCTAGAGTCGGTGCAGCATATATCAGATGACCCCTTAACTCTGTTATTTCATTCCCAACCTTTTTGTTTTACATCTAACGTTTAGCTTGTTTATACTTCTGAAATTAAAGTCCATTCTCTGCCGTGCCCCCTGGCTAACCGTGAGATGTTTTCCCCCATGTTTAAGTCTCTCTCTGATATGCTTAAACTGTATTTCATCATTTCTTCGTTACACTTTATTACTTTACAAAACTACGACAAAAATGCTTCCTTATAGTTGTGGATGCCATTTAAGTATTTATTCGTTAGTTGTTTGAAGTTCTAATTGTATTCATAATGAAGCATGATTAACCATTTGTAGGTAACTGGAAACGCGTATATGTTGTTCTGGAACATCTTGTTGATGCTATCAAAACTGCTGATGCTTCTGCAACATCTTCGGTTACCAGTAAATCTGGAGAACATTATTGTTATGTTCCACAGATTGATTTATCTAGCTATTTCAAAGAAATTGTCCCTACAGAGTTGTACAATAAGGGCTTACAGTGGGGCCAAGAGATCACTTCAGGAACATCTACTTTGTTTTTTCAAAATCAAGGTTTTCAGTTTGCTGATGATAGTTCGAGCAATAAAGCTTCTGCAAATTTTTCTTCTGCCACCTCACAAAAATATGAAATTGTGGATTTCATTGGAAGTATAGAGAAGTCCCCTGATATTAAGGCTTTAAGAAACATTGAGAGAACCCAGCTCCTTGCAATCGTTGATCTTCTTGGTGAACTCAAGGAATCAACCTATTCTTCTGCATATGATAGTCTTGATAAACCTGGACGAAGGTAATACATAGTAATTTCTTGGCAATGTTTATTTTTGCATTTACTTTACGTTTTAAGTTTTTTATTCAGTAGTATTTTTATTTGAAAGTAAAGGTTCCACAGTTTGTCACCATCATCATCACTGTTGATTCTTGATAAATTATTGCGGTTATGACAGAGTTAATGATTTCATTTTTTTTCTTTGATATGTCAAGTTCTGCATATGACATATAGAGATGTTGACTCCATTTTAAATGATGTCTTACAAAGTTACAAGGAAATTTCTTTCGTATTAAGATATGAATTTAAGTGATCCTTGTCCATTAATGGAAACAATTTATGGATTGAAACATATTTTAATATTTCATATTTTAAAAAGTTTTGCTGTTTTCTTAAATTAAACATGTAATTTAACAACTACATGTTTCAGGAGAGGAGGTTTAATGTCCCAAGAAATCCATCAAATAGTAACCGAATAGAGGATTTTAGCAGGAAGATAGGAGGTTTTGGAGTTTCAGCAGATTGGGGCCTGGTCAAACAAATCTATGGAGTTCTATAAAGCAAGTGAAACTTAGTTTGGATAGTTTTAATTGTCCTGGAGGGGAGTAGTGTATAAATTATTAAAATTTATCCCCAAGCAAGAAAAATGCAGTCAAGCACATAAATTTCTAAGTGTAGAGTGAATCTGAAGACAAAATCATTGCTGTTCCCGAGAATTTTGGATAAAAGCTTTGTTGTTGTCGTAATCTCAAGACCAAATCATACTATGGTAAGATTCAATTGTTCGCTTTTATTTACCTAATGGCATCTTGTCAATGTGAAGCCCATTGGGTGTCTGTTGCTTCTGTTTAACTGTGCTGACTAGTGGTTGATATGGAAGTAAGTTCCCCTATCAAGCTTTACAAAGTAATATTATCGTTGGTATGCTCATATTCTAAAATAAAAATAAATAATAAATAATAAATAAATAAAAAGAAAAATAAAAAGAAAGAAAAAAAAGTATGCTCGTGGACTCTTATCCAATCATTAGCTTTAGATCTCTAGTTCCATCAGTTGCAGGTATGTTACTGTTTTGTGAATTATGATGTTTGATTCACTAAGTGCTCATGGGAAGATATTGGTGAATTTTTCGCTCTTCGTATCTTCTAAATCTTATACCAAATATTTGATCTTTCCTTGGCCATTGCATTTAAGGTACCTTTCAATATTGGTCTTTTTCTTGCATTTGCTTCTAATAGGCCAACATGGTGATGAGTAATGACTCCAGTGAGAAGGCAAGAGGAGCTACAAATTTTTTTAACCTATTTCCTATTAAGTTAGCTAGGATTTATTCAAAGCCTCGTGTCTTTCTCATGTACACACCAAAGGATTCTGTGCGAAAGACATCTGACTGTTTATTATTGTTCTATTTTCCTACTACAGCTGACATAATTAGAACTTGGCTTTACCTGAATAAAAACTACTTTCCTTAATATGAAAATTTCAAAGTAATTGATATCTAGTAACTCAGACACTGCTTATTGACAACATTCTCTATTGGACACTGTTAATGGCAACATTTTATTTTGTATCAAATGCTTCTACGAACTTCTAAATTTTTCTATTGGACAATGTTGTTACAATCTTCCGACTTTCTCACTTCTAGATTTTGACCTCTAGCGATAAGAAGGTTCATGCTTTGTTATTGCATATCATATGGTAGCATTTGTAAAATCTTGCTATACTTTCAAATTTATTTATTTATTGGTTTTTTTTCTACATGCAATAATGCAACAATTGCTGCAGGAGGAACCAATACCTTCTCATTCTGTTAATGCAAATGCAATAATGAAGGTGCAAATATTATAAATGCACGAATTAAATATCATCTTGTTACTTTTATTCTCTCAAGGTTCTGGGTTGCAGTGCGATTTCAGAGTCTGTATACTTTACGGAAGTTTGGAAGATTGTCTGCAGAAGGACCTGTCAGCTCTAGGTTGCTTGCATGGGCCTTGCAGTCTGATTGTCATGACAATCTTTTAGGCTCTCTTTTGTCTTCTAATCCATCTTGGCCTGAAATGCGGAGCCTGGGCGTTGGATTTTGGTTTACCAATGCATCTCAATTGCGGACAAGGGTAAATATTACTATTTTTTTCAGAAGTTGGCATCTTAAAGTTACAGTAAACTTTACTTACAGCCACATTTTGGTAGATCATACGGTGGCATAGGATAAATAGTTCTTATAAATATATTAACATTTTGGTAGATCATACAGTGGCATAGTATAACTAGTTCTTATAAATATATTAAGTTTTTAGCATGAAGTTCTACAAGAACATAAAAACCTTATAGCTTTATTATGGGATTTTACTGCGATTTTATAATTCCTTTGTCTCTTGCACACTTTGTTTTACACAAGTAACCAGTTGTTTCTTATATAAATCGTCTAACAATTTCACTTATTCACTAAATTTTACCTGTCTTAGATAACTGCAGCTAATATTATTTACTAATTGGCATCAGATACAAACACTAACGTAGCTTGCCAAATTGATCTAGTCTTGTAGTAAATATTGGTTTACTAATTGGCATCACATACAAACACTAGTGTAGCTTGCCAAATTTAAATATGTTAAGAGGCAGGTTTCAGGAGTTCTATGTACATTGTACAATGAGTACATCCGGTGTTTTAAAAAGCTTCCGCTTAGGCCGCCTAGGCTTTTGCCTAGGCCTAGACAGTACCTAAGCCTCCTAGGCTTTGACCGCTCAGGTCTTGAGAGCGCCTAGGGGACTGGAGACCGCTTACGCGGACTACACTGCTAGGGTATTGGTCATCATTTTCTCTGTTGCTGCCTCCATGCCCTCTAACCTCCTTTGAACTTCTTCAACCTCCTCCACCGACTACAAACACCTCCACCGACTTTCAATAAACTTTCCTTTGCCACCACTTAAATAAAAATAGAAAATCATCATAGGCCTAGCATCAAGGTGCTAGATGCCAGTTTGATAGCTGCCAGTTTGATAGCTAGTGATGCCTAGCACTTTCGATAACATTGATTGGAATTAAAAATATAAAATAGGAAAGCGCCTAGGCCATCGCCTAGGCTCTAGGTGCTGTGTTTGACGCTTAGACTATCTAGCGCTTTCTTTAACCTTGGGTACCCCACTTGAATCCCTTATCTTCAATAAAAAAAAGTATTCATCCTGATGGTATAAATTGCAACTAAATAAAAAAATATTTAACCTTGTGGATTGTCTAGATCATCAAATATAATTTGCATCCTTTATTTGAACTATATATAAAGTCTTTCTATGATCAATTTGTTCTTGTTTGATTATCTTCTTGCAGTTATACTAGTCCTTTACTTTTATCATGTTATGATGAAATATTTATATGCTGAGCTTGTAGATGGAAAAGCTCGCAAGATCTCAATATCTAACAAGAAAGGATCCCAAGGACTGTGCACTTCTATACTTGGCATTGAATAGACTTCAAGTTTTGACTGGCCTATTTAAAATCAGCAAAGATGAAAAGGACAAACCGCTAGTTGGATTTCTTTCACGCAATTTCCAGGTATTGCAATACATGCATAACTTTATTTTAATTTGTTTCCTGCTCGGATTCTGCACCCCCCATTATTCACTGCTCCAATGACCTATTCTTGAAGAACAGGATCGAGGGGTTCCTTGGGACAATTTGGGGCCAAGTGGGACAACTATCTCAATGGGACAATTTTACTTCCTTGGAACAACGTGAATGGGATAAAGGAGGATATATTGGGATAACGAGATAATTTGGAACTTGATTGAGACAATTTAAGTGGGATAATTGATGACATGATGCCTTACTAAAATATGATATTTATTTATCAATTGAGTATAATTAACTTAACTAATTTGTTTTGTAAGTTATTTACTATAATATAATATATATTATATTTCAAGAAATGTATTAAAATAGAATATATTATATTATAATTAATATAATTTATATGAATATTTTTAGTAATATTAATTAATATAATATGTTTTTATTACAATAATATAGTTGTATATATTATATGATTGGTTTGTTTACATATATTGTTATTATATTATATGATATAACATCATAGACAATATAATATATTACATTAATATTATATTATAATAACCCTAATATACTATTAATATGTTTATTAATTAATATAATGTATTACGTTAATTTAACATATTATATCATATTTTAATATATCATATTTTATTTTTATTTTTATTATTACAATAAAATATTATATAATATAATTATCATACTATTGACAATATATTTAATACTATTAATTAATATAATATAATAAATTATATCAATTTATAAAAACTATAGTATAATAGAAAATAGTAAATTATTATCTATACTATACTATAAAAGTTGGGTGCTACAATAAAGTGTGTCCTACAAATTTTTCTTTATCCTCTTAACTCCATGTTATTCAAGACTTCTATCATGTTTGTCCTTATGCTCCCACTCCCCCTCTCATCTCGCTCCTCTCAAGTCATTTGACACATATGACCTCATGAAATTCAAGATTGCAAACAAAATAAAAAAGCACGCTAAAAATTAGTAAAATATGTTCTATAAAGAAACTTATAAAAAAATTCTGATAGCAAATCTTCTTAATTATATTTACTGACTACAAATGATTATTATTATGATTTGTTTGTAAAATAAGATTTACACCATTCACTATTGCATTCTGTTTGTGAATATCGAATCAAAATATTTGTCCAAACATAAAGCGAATTATGTTGTCTAGTAAGCAATTAAAACTTTAACCTTTTTTGCATTTAATTGTTAAGCCTAAAGGCTACAACAAAGAGTAGGAGGAAAGTATATTTGACATTTTCCTCCCTCTTTCTCCATGTATGCAGTATACAAGGTTTTAAATGTCGTCCGACATGTCTGACATGTCGGCCGACATATCGGTTTGAGGGCTTGACCGACATGACATGGACGTTTTCAACTCGTATGTCGGTTTTCAGGGCCAAATCGAAAATATCAGGGTCATATCGGGCGACGTTTTCAACTCGTATGTCGGTTTTCAGGGCCAAATCGAAAATATCAGGGTCATATCGGGCATATCGGCCTATTTTTTAGCTTTGAAAAATAGGCTGATATGATACTTTTTTAAGTTCTGTTTTTTGTTATAGGGTTTGGGTTTAGTGATAAATACCCAAACTCGTTTGACCCGTTCTCATGTTTATGGGTTTCTTATGAACCCGATAGAAAGAATTTATGAACCAAAATCTATATATTATTTACTTTTTTATATGTTTAGTCTATAGAATTTATAAAGTATGCTTATATTGAATTTATAAATGTTTAGATTACATTTAGGACATGATATTATACATATGCGCACTATCCTATGGCAATCCGATATTTAGTCAATGTCCCTCGATATATCCCCAATTTTCGCTATCCGACATGGATTTCAGCCATCCGACATGAACTCGATATCCGACATTTAAAACATTGGCATTATAAGATAAATAATTTTCATGTAGAGCCATTAAATTAAAATTTGCAGCACCACAAAAATAATAAATTGCAAGTATTAAAATATTAAACAGCTTGCAAGTATCAATAGTTTCTAAATATTAACTTCGGAAATGTATTGTTAATAAATATATAAGAAAAGCTTGCTAATTTTTTGTTTAAAATAAAAAGAGTATTGTTCTTTTCTCTCTTTACAAAGAGAAATTGCACAATGATAAAATTTATTAAATATTTTTCAAAAAAAAACACAAGATAATAAAAGCACTAAACATGCATATTTAATTGATATACTTAAGCATTTCTACATAAAAATATACTTAAGAAATGGAATATGTGAAAACATACTTACAAAATAAAATATTTTAATTCTATGTAATAACTTACTTAAAACAATAGAAAATGTAATTAAATTTGTCTTCTCACAGATGAAGTAAAAATATGGAAAAATGGAAGAGAAATACAAGATAATAATGATTTTTTAGTTTTCAAAACCTAGATTAAATATGTATGTGCGTAATCAATATCTTATACTATATTTCTTAAAAAAATTAATATGAATTGTAAAAATCCTATTATATGCATTTATAATTCAAATATGTCTCTCTTGTTGAAATATGTATGTATGTATGTATGTGTGTGTGTGTGTGTGTGTGTGTGTGTGTGTATATAGATAATGCAAGAGATGAAAGGTGAGAGGCTAGTAGCATGGATTCATGGAAGTGGAAATTCAAAAATGAGAAAGGATGAGTGTGAAAGAGACAAAGTGAGACTCTCACTGCTATGGTTTGGACTTCTATTTTTTCTTTGAATACTGTTTGTATCCAAAGATTTAAGTTCTTCAATTTGTCGTTGAAGATTTAGGATATTTGTATTTATATCCTCTATGGGGTATACCATATCAATTACAGAATTTAGCATCAAAGCCAAATTGTGGTTTGTTGGTGACTTGGTAGAGTCTTTTGGCAAATGAAGCAAGTGCTTGTAACTCTTTGGTTCAGCACTTAGCCGACAGATTTATTGTATTAAACTAGACATATGAAAGATTTCTTTCTCTTATCACTATCTTTTCTTATGTTTTTTAATTTCTACTATATCTATTTGTTCTTTTACTTAGCAAGGATTCGACCCTTTTCTCTCGGCTAAACACACGCTGCTTGAGGGTGGCTTTTTCTTCAGGCTACGGACTCGAAACTAGCAGCACTCATGCTGCTACACACAGAACGTTACCACAATCCTAGTATGTTGCTTCAGAGAGAGCACAATTTAGTTTCATTTCCTAACTCTAGGCACAACCTGATAAGCAAAGCAAATATAAACAGAATAGCAAAATTAAACTACATAATGAAGACATAATGAAGACAGAGATTGGAGAAAGAAAGAAACTTAGAACCTCATATTATTAATAAGAAATAAAACTTACAGAGTTTATACTACAAGACTTCAGGCTAGCAGACGACAGACACTGATGGTACTCTCACATAAACACTCTTTTTACAAGAACACTCACAAGATGCTTCTCAAGACACTTTGCAATATTTCTCCGATTTTTTGATGATCCTCACAAAACTTTGACCTCTCCTATATATAGACCCAAAATTGACTTAAGGAATCTTTACTTTTACAAAAGTAGCTTTACAAAGTATTTTTATTAAAGTAACTTTAATAAAGTAATTTTTAAAAGTAACTTTTAAAAAGTAACTTTTAAAAAATAACTTTAATAAAGAGACTTTAATAAAGTATCTTTATTTTGGAAAATGGACGCTCTTTCTCGTGTCCTCCTAGCATGTTTGGTGCTCCTTCTAGGGTCGAGCTTGTCTCATCATGCTTCTCAGTCAGTCTCGGGAGCTGTATTCTGATCAAAAGAGCGTAACGGGGATGTTCTGCCTGTGCGTATGATTAATTCATACTGCTCCTTGGCTTAGTGGGCTACTGATCCTAAAACCATAATTTCCTCGAATTCTTCTAGCAATTCCTTTTCTTCGAAGAGTAGGTTAGGGAGATGAAGAATAATGTGGTCTTTTATTATCATCTTCTCATTATTATAGTGTAGTGCTTTAAAGAATTTGGTTGCTTCCATTTCCATTTCCTTTTCTTTTTCAACATCATACTCCTTTTCGTTGAAAGGAATATGCATAAAATGAGGTTCTTCCCATATTGACCATATGGTGAACTTGATTCCATATGGTCACACAAAAATAGCCACACCTAATTCTTTTCCAAATTGATTCCGACAATTCATACTACGAATTCAGCATGGCCACACAGAAATGGCATTAGAATTCTAACATCATATTTTCTCAATTCTTTAATTAAGAAAAATGTGCGCAATATTAGATGGTTTATGGAATTAGATAACTATATTTATACTATTTGATATATTTTTGGATTCACTAATATTGGTGCTGATTTTCTTTCTAGGTAGGGCTAGCTCCTCATTAGGAAAACAGTCGGATAAAGGCAAAGCACCTATTCCCCTTAGAATGAAATAAACAAACAAGGTGCATCAAATATAAAATAGACCCTCACAATAAAGGAGGCAACCGATAGTGGCTTTGTAACCGTAAAAGGTAAAACAAAGCATAAAGAAGAAGAGAAAACCTCTCAAAATAAGAAGTCCAAAGCTCACCAGGGATATTGGAAAAAGCATCTACAATTCAAAGATATGGTAGTCAAAAACTGGTATAACACCAGTTTACCAGAAGAAGACTACACATGTATTAACAGTTGCTGAAAGAAACTTGAGGAAATGAGGATTTCTACTCCAGACACTAATGCATATCTATCGGCATTAGAATAAGTCATCAAGGAAAAGAATCGAAAGATTCAAGACTTTAAAAGGGATACCACAGATGCAGAGGTATCATAGAAAATCTCATGAGTCAATCAATCTTGACTATGTCAACGACAATGAGGACTAAAAAAGAGTAACTGAGAAACTCTTTGGGCTCAAGCTCAAGGGACTTGAGAATAATCTTTAAGGAAATCAAGATCAAAGATTTAGCAGTAACTAATATTGATTCTTTTGTCGAACTAGTCAGTTATTTTAAGTTTGATATCTCAAATATCAGACACAACGAAAACTAAAGGACATGTTCGATAGCCATCAGAGGAACCTAATCGATGATCAGACAATGCTCGCCTCCTTCGAAAAACTGAAAGATGACGGAATAAACTCGTTCAAATCAGCTTCACAGGTTATATTAAACTAATATGACTGACATTGGGTACTGGCTAGTTTTGAACTCATACTCGCACATAAAGAACATATTCAAAAGGGCTCAGTACATAAACTGTATCTTAATAAAACTAGACCCAAAGAATATAAGCCCTTCATTCCCGAAATCTGCAGTCAGACACTTGAAGAAACAGACACATTTCAAAGAGTCTTTGAGTTCACCATATGGTCAATATGGGAGGAACGCAATCTGTATGAATTCTATCATTCATATCAAATTTGGAGGACAGACCCCTTAACAAGGGAATCTCATTTCAAGTATATTCTTTTCAACGAAAATGAGTATGATCTTAAAGAAGAAAAGGAAATGGCAGTAATCGAATTCTTTGAAGCACTGCACTACAATAATGGGAAGATAATAAAAGATCACATTATTCTATATCTCCCTAACCTAATCTTCAAAGAAAAGGAACTGTAAGAAGAATTTCCCCAAAACACCCGCGCTTCAGGCTGGTATCAGAGCCTGGATCCAGGGTAAAGATCAACCAAATAGATGTTGAAACATGTGCATATTGCTCTGGGAAATTTAAAGGACTGAAGAAAATATATGCTACGTATGATAAGGAATATTAGTTATTAGAAATATTATTAGTTTCTTAAAAATTTATTTATTATCATTTGAGTTCATTATTAAAACAGATAATCAAGCCATTACACAGTTTCTTAAAAAGTTACTATAAAGTATTGGACATGGTTAGACTAGTTGGCAGGTTATCCTTTTCTATACCAGTTATAGGGAACATGCTGATTCCATACTTATGGTAAGATGTCACTTATGGTAGGATGTATTGTGATAGATTCAAAAGGATAACTTTCAAAGGATGCATGCTAAATTTTGCTTAACATTCTAGAGATGGCCATAATTGTGTACCTAGAAATGATATTTTAGAAAGGTCATATACAACGTATCAAAATTTTTAAGTTGTACTTCTGTAGAAGGATAATTAACATATGATACTGATTTGAAAACTAACCCTGATAAACACCAATTTATGTTAATGCAATGAGAGGAATTTCTTCTTTGACTTGAGCAGTGGCATAAAGCCCTTGGGATGAGTTTATATCATGAAACTTTGGTTTGTGCTTCTCTCTCTTTTTAGCATGTCTAAGTGGGATAAGCTTGTTTCACTTCCTGCCATCTGTCCAGCCCTTGGACAGGTTTGGTTATAAATCTTACTCTACCATTCACTTTAACAACATCTCTTCTCAAGTTACCTTCTCCATTCCCTAGCTATGGTGCAATGACTGGTAATGTCCGTGATAAGTCTTTAAAGGTTTATCCACTTCATTTTTCATGTACTTCCTATATACTTAACATTTCTTTTAAGTTACTAATTATTTACATGGTGTCTTTTGTTGTGAGGGCTGGTTATGGATGGTCTGAGATTCAAGATTGGATTACAAGCTTTGTTCATAGAAAATTTCTTCTTTTTAGTTTGTTACCCCATTTTTCATATTTTTTTTCAAAAAAAAAATCCTTGACATTTTTGCAATTAAGCTCGGCTAAAGTGTGATATCACTTTCCATTTTCCACAATCTTACAATCTTGATATGAGTTGGTGATGCGGGACGATAATGGATCGTCGATTTTAGATTAGTAGAACTTATTAATCTTTTATTTATTTCAGAAATATTTGGTAGAATTTTTATTTGCGATGAGATTTTATAAGGATTTGCTGTTAGGATTTAGGATCTTTTCTGACTTGATTTTGTTAGGATTTATTTTGTTGTTGGAACTGAGATTTATTATATTGTTAGTTTAATTTTTTTATAAACATTATGTATCCTCTCTTTTAGAGGCAGACATTGATGAATGAGAATATTTAAGTTTAAGAAAACCTCTCTTTGAAGAATGTGAGTTGTTACGCGTGAAGCCAAATTTAACGTTATTTTATAAATTTTTTATTTGTTTAATCTCCTCTGAAATCTTTTCCTCAAATTAATCCGCTACCTATTATCCAAAGGAAATTTTTTTCTGGTAATGTTCAACTAAACAGTACTTACTGTCACTAATTATGTGTACAGTACCTTACCATGACGCCGATTTGTATTCGTCTCTGTATTCATCGCAATCAACCTCTTTGACGATCCAATGTTCTGTGACCATCATTTTGGATCCTCTTCGACCTCTAATGATCAATGACGAATCTTTTTGGTTGGAGCTCTCTCAGTCTATTCCCCATCAATTGGTGTCAAAGCAAGTTTATTATACTGGGATTTTACTTAATAAAATATTGTTTAAAATGAATGGGATAAATAAAATAATGGATAGATTGATCGAGATGGGAACTCTCATTGAGAGATGTCCTGAGCAAGAACCAGACTCAGAACTGGAGCTAGAAGTGAAAGTGAATCAAGTGATAGAGCCCGTGCACATGCACGTACCCAAGCTCGAGATGAATCCCAAACTTGAGCCTAAAAAAAAGCAAGAGATAGATCTCGAGTTAGAGTTAGAGTTTGAACCCGATTCTACAGTGCAAATTATGATGCAAAATCATGTCAAAGTCGCATTCAATTTACTTCAAGATCACTTAATTATTAACTTTGGTATACCAAATCCGTCTCCACCAACCCAACATCAAATTCTGTAGATGTTGAAGATCCTGTAATCCACGCAAGGATAGTTCTCGCTGAACAAAGGACTTTGTATGCTCTCCCTTTATAAAACTTGAGGTCGAGTTTTCTCCAACAAGGGGAGATTTAACGTAGGGCAATCATGGATCATCGATTTTAGATTGGTAGGACTTATTAAATTTTTTTAATTTCAGGAATATTTAGTACTATCTTTATTTTAGGTGAGATTTTATAAGGATTTGCTGTTAGGATTTAGAATCTTTTCTTATTTGATTTTGTTAGGATTTATTATATTGTTAGTTAATTTTTTTAAATAATGTGTATCCTCTTTTAGAGGCAGACATTGATGAATGGGAGTATTTGAGTTTTTTAGTTTGAGAAAACCTCTTTTTGAAGAATGTGAGTTGTTAGGCGTGAATCCAAATTAATTGTTAATTCTGTAAAGCTTTTTTTTGTGTTTAATCTCCTCCAAAGTTCTCTCCTCAAATTAATCTGCTGGTTACCATCCAATGGAAAAAGGTTTTTGGGGGTACTGTTTGGGGGTACTGCTAAAGTGAACAATACTCACGTTCACTATTTACGTGAACAGTATATTGCATCGATGCCGATCCATATTCATCTCTGTTTCATCGCGATAAGCCCCTCTGACGATCCAACATCCTGTGGCCATGCTTTTGGATCCTCTTCGACCTCGAACGATCGATCAGAGTCCTCTCAGTCTATTCCCTATCAGTTGGTTGAAAAGCTAGTGGAAGCAACTAGAATAATGTAATTTGTCAATACTATAAGTTAGTGGACAAATTGTGAGTACTTTGCCAATTGTTTGCTAATGATACCCAACATACGTTCTCTCGGTAAACAAAAGAAATGAAAGATATGTTACATGTGAATATTTGAACATGTCGTGAACTGGACGGTATTGGAGATTAACTTGGAGAAACTTATTTCTAAGGAAAAACTCAAGAATCCAAATTAATGAATGCACTTATGATCTGTATGGAACTGAATTAAAAAAAAAGACTTGGCAATTACAAGCCAAAAGTAGAAATTAGAGGCGGTGGTTAGGGCAGAGGGTGGTAGAAACAAACATGAGTTGAGACCATTAAAAATGATATGTAGTCTTTGTTTAACCTGAGCCCTTTGCAGAGATCAATGGAAAAAAAGGGAATTCGTTGGGCTGATCCCAAAAGTTGGTGATGAAATCTTTGTTATTGCCATCAGCATTGTGTTTCCAATTTTGCTCAATCTCCTTCTGCAGCATGTTAGCCCCTAATATTTCCTCAATTTTAAATTGAAAAGCAAACTACAGAGTAGGGTAACATTTTTTCAAAGGTGAGAATAGGCTTGAGCCTTAGCATGATTTTATTTGATACTTGTCTTATAAAAATGCGACATGCCTGATAATTAAAAGATTCAACATAATTTAGATTTTCTGCATCTCAGATTAATTATAAAAAATCAACTATTATTTCTACTATTCTGGACTTTTTGCATCATAGAATATGAGAGGTCTGCGTCTTGTTGGCTAGGCTTTTAGTCTTTTCATATCTTTTTCAGGAGGAAAAAAATAAAGCTGCTGCATTGAAAAATGCCTACGTTCTAATGGGAAGGCATCAATTGGAGCTTGCTGTAGCATTTTTCCTTCTTGGAGGTGATTCATCTTCGGCAGTCACCGTCTGTGCAAAAAACCTTGGAGATGAACAACTTGCTCTTGTAATTTGCCGATTGATTGAAGGACAAGGTGGTCAACTAGAACGTCAGTTAATATCGAATGTCTTGATTCCTAATGCTGTTGAAAAGGAAGATTTCTGGCTGGCTAGCCTGCTTGAAGTTAGTATTCAAATATCACTATCACTCTTCATATTTTCAGGAGAATTATCTGTTAAGTGTTTTTTTGCCTCCCAATGCTAACATCATTCTGTTCATACAGTGGGCATTAGGGAATTATTCTTGCTCCATCACTAAGTTACTTGATTCTCGGGAGGGGCAACGGACTCAGAAGTCTGCTGTATCCAACTTTTCTGCCTTTTTAGACCCGGATATTGGACAGTACTTTATAACTTTAGCATCTAAAAATAATATGAAAAATTCTTTAGGAGTTATGGTGCTATCTAAATTAGCAACACTGATGTCTGCAAAGGCCTTCAACAGATGTGGATTTCCTGTAAGTTTGTTTCAGTCTAATATTTCCATCCCTGCGTTTTGTTTTTGTGGGAGATTTTTTGCTTATAATTTCCCTTTATACATTTACTTATAAAAATATTTAATGGAATCTTCTGCTTTCTAGCTGATCACTTCATTAGTGTGCTGCTTAATTAACATTGGTCATTGTCATATGATCTGTCTCTTTTTCTGTTGTGACGTGGATTTTTTTTTGTTCTCATACTCTGTCAATCTCTGCTTAAGAAAATACATATGATGATTCATGATAAGTCAGTTGTGTTGAACTAACTATTTTTCTTCTCCAGAAAGAAACTGGAACACATACTAATTCGTGGTCTTTTTTCTTTTCTCACTGTAAAAACCTAATCTGTCTGTTTGCTGTGATGTGGATACAATTTTGTCTATCACATACTTTGACAATCACAGCCTTTTTGAAGTTTGTAAATGCAATACATATATCAATTCACGATAAATCAGTTATGTTGTAAAATTTTCTTTCTTCTCTAGCAGAAATAACCAGAACAAATACTAATTTTCTTTCCCCACCTGACACCCTACTACTCTACTGCTGCTACTGTTACTATTTGTAATAAGCAAAAAATTGCTTTTTCTTCCGGAGATTTAATTGATTTATGTTCAAAAATAGGAAGCAATCAAATTTTCTATTAGTTATGCTAATGAGTGGGAAGCCATCAAATTTTTTCCCTTAATTTGATTATACGCCGACACCTATCAAAGGCAATGATTGAATTATAGGAGTACATATATGAATTTTGTTCTAAATGCACAGTGCTGAATAATTGTTGATGGATAGATGTACAACATTTTGATATTGGCTGTGAATCCACGCCATTCCAATCACAGGTGATAAGCCATTCCAATCACAGGTGATAATGAGCCCTGCAGTTGACTCATTATCTAAGTTCTTATCATACTTTCTCTGAGGACTTTTTGAAGCCAACAGGAGATAAAGTCATGAGGTCTCAATGTTAGTAGTTCATTAGACATTTTTGGGATTACAGAGGACATGTTCATGTCAGAGAGGCGTGGTCCTTTGGGAGGATGAGGGGGTAGTAGATTAGGAGCTCGATCTGGTGGCAGGAAGAGTTAGCTCTGGACAGTAAGAGTTATGGAGGTGCTAGAGAACCCAAAATATGTCACTATTGGAAGGAAGAAGGTTACATAGAGATCACTTGTTGTAAGCTATGGCAAACCTACTTTGCCAACTCTGTCCACACATAAGGTGTCTTTTTAGAAGGAGCCAGCCACATCTCAGTTCAATGATGTGACTAAGAACAATGATGAGCTATGGAGATATTAAATGTTCCCCAAAATTCGGATTATTCAGATGATGTCATAGTTGACACGATAGTCTTGATATGGACAAGTAACTTGATTGAGGCAACATCCAAATCTAGGGCAGACTATGCTACCTGGGTACTTCTAATATGAAGCCGTACCCCTACCAGACACGTACCCAACACATACCCGTACCCAAACTTCATGAACGCTCCTTGGATATGTGCATACATTTGTTCGGACATTTACTCAATTATATGATATAAGTCTTAATTTAAAACACTTGTCATACACTTTTTGGACATATATCATACACTTCACGTCATTTCTTGAAACTCATTATACATGGCTTGGGTTTGTTTCAGCCCTCATACCCAAGTCCAAAAATATGATTTTAAAGGATGATTTGGGTGTCTAGTTCAAAAACGAGCAGTTTGCAATGTAAAAAAAAAAATCAACATAATAAAAGAAACTTATAAATGTGATAGGAATTTTAATTTTAATAGCACGTGAATTGAAAAACAATAATGATAACATGAAAATTATTAATTTTAATATAAATATGTAGTTGTGTCCTTATACCCTATATTTTACAATTTGTCGTGTCCTGTACCTGCAACCCCACCAGTACCTGTAACCGTTTCCGTGCAACTTAGAGTGCTGAATCAGAGTATCCACCTGTTGCCAATGTTACATGTGAAGTGTTTTGGATACAATACCTTTTGAATCAACTACGTTTTGTGTCTAATTATATGCAACTAAATTGCAAAGTGACCAGGATGCTATTACTGTTGACAAAAAATCATGCATTTCATGAAAAAGCACACTGAAATTGGTTGCCATCTTGTCCGTTAGAAGGTGATAGATCAAGAGTTCATCCAGATTAGACGTGTTTTCTATCAGTTAGAACTTTACTGATTAAGCTCTTGGAAGATCATGTAATCAGTTTTTTCTGATAAGCCCAACATTTATGGTGATTATAGTCAGTCTTGAAAAGGACCATTAAGGAATATATTATTGTACAAGGGGTTTTGTAGAAGTGCAACTAGTATGTAGTCAGCAGAAAGAGATGCACTTTGGCTTCTCCCATCCAATTATAGTCAAATGCATCCTGTTGGGAAACATGATAGTTAGAAAATCACATTATCATGTCCCTACGTTGTAACTTGTTTTTATTCTGTTAGTATTGCTATGTCCATGTTGTATTTGTGCTCTATGTATATGTCCATACCATTGACCTCAGTGAGATTGTTTCTAATGCTACATAATTTGTTACATTTTTATTTGTCAACCTCATCATCACACTAAAGTCATATGGATTGTAAACTCTCTTTTTTCCACCCTCTCTGTAAGATTGTAATGGCTAAAATATTTCTGCCAACTGTGTAATTTGTGAATAACTCGTGATCTCAAAGGCAGTTTTTTTTATAATTATATACTGCTCGAATTGTGAGAATCTGATTGTTCTGACTTATTTACTATATAAATTATTGCATGCTAAATAGCGTGGATGGACTTGACATTTCAAATCTTGCTTGTATTTCTGTACTTTCCCTGTACAGATAGTACATTGATTCAAGTACTAAGACTAGTCATCCATCTATTAGTAATATTATTTATCTCGTGCTCATTTGTTCTTTTAAGAGCTAATTAAATCTGACTTCTTGTAATTTTTCTGAAGCTTGAAGCGCTCGAGTGCTTTTCCTCTTCTTTGAGTGTTGGGAGCAATGACCGAGGTCTGTCGGACATTGAACCTCACATGATTTTTCACAGAATACTGAGACCTTTCTCTACTAGTGATTGCAATTGGTTGCTATCAGGCATAGCTGATGCTTTAGAGTTAAATGCTAAGTTGGGCATGTCAATGCAATTCATTTCAAAATTGCTAAAGGATCATCCAAGCTTCCCCCTCGATGATTTATCGTCCTGTGAAAAGTTAGCCTTTCATGAACATGATGATTATCAAGATGAAAAGCAAGTATATGAATGCACACATAAGCTGCACTCAGCAATCTCCATATTTGAGCAGAAGTACTTAGTCGAATCAGTTGACCTAGCCAACATGGTAATGTTATTGCAAGAATCCATTCTTATTTCGGTTCAGTTTATGAAATTTATTTGTAGTTTCTTTTTGTCGAGGTATTCAGTTTTATTTCAAATATCTTATATGGAACCAACATGTGTTGTTCTTGCAGATCCTAGTCTTTGTGAGTAATAAGGGACTGCTTTTTCATGGCTACCTGTTGTTGCATGGCAACAACCCTAAGGGGCATGACAGTAAGCATGATAGAAAACATAGTTCTATATTAGATTCTGCTCTATGGAGGTTTCTTTTAAAGGCATGCCGAGAGATATCAATTGTATTTTCTCGGTATATTGTATGTTGCAATTTAACTGATTCAATATTGAAGCTTGTTTATCAAAAGAATTTCACATCTGAAAATAGAAGCTATTCTCAGAGGGAGTTTTGCTTAAGGAGTGTAATATCGTCTATGAGGACCATTAGACGATTTCTGAAGCTTTGTGGTTTTCATGAAGGTCTTTGTTTGAGAATTTCTCCTGTCCTTGATCTTTTTGAATACTGTGTGCTTCTTGCTTTAAGATGGCTTAGTAGAAACGTCGAAGGACTGATTGTGATGGCCGAAACAATCTTAAATTTACCTATCAATCATCAGTCCTTATTTGAGGTTCGATCAGGTGAGCTCATGAACGCTCTAAGACAATCCTCAGATTGGATGGTTCATGATCTGTTGGATGTTGGAGCTTCAACAAAGGGGCAACTTCAACAAAGTGAGACCTCAATCCTCTCCATAGCGGATGATGAAATGTGGCCGCTAATAGGAGTTTGTTTGTGGATTCACCTATCAGGTTTTGCAAATCACCAGTTGAGCAAAGTTCCGGAAAAAGAGCTGATTGAAGGGAGCACTATAATGGATCTGATGAATGAGCTTCCAGTGCTTGTTGCTGAGTTATATGTAGATTCAATGTCTTATTTATCTTCTTCATTATCAAGACAGCTTGCATCCTTTATTAGACAAAAAATATCTAAAGGTTTACCTGTTACTTCGTTTGTTTGGCTGGAGGAACTGAGTAACAATAAATCAAGTTCCTTGCATAATTTTTCAGACAAAAAAGTTGGTTCCTTGGAACTGACTGGCGAGGAGGAAACGATGTCCCTGTTGCACAAATTGTGGGAAATTTCTGTCTGCCCTGCCAATGTTTGTGAGAATTTTGTGAGTCAAAGAATTGTTTGCTTCCCCTATAGAAACCAAAAGTTCTCTGGTTGTTGGAAAGATTTACAGAGAGGTGCACCTGCTGATGATGAAAACGATATTTCGCCAAGCTGTAAAGCGCAAGGCAGTATTAGCAACAATAGACCCGTCAGGGGACAGGATTCAACATCTAATAATAGTTCAACAACAGATGCCCTTTTGGAAACTGCAAGAAGAAGAAGTCCCCACAGTGATATCAGTTCATTCCACAACTCAATAGAAGTACTTAAGAGAAGTGGGGAACTACTAGAGGTATTTTCTTGAAGATGATGTACATTACTAAATGCTTGGAAATTAGTTGTGACGTTCTTGTAAGACACATAATATTTTGATTCATTCTTCTGTTTCTCTATGAAGTTATTGAATGGCTAGATCCTCTTTATGCAGGCAATTTGTTTCAATTCTATTGATGAGCATCAGGTTGCGGTTGCAAGTAATCGGAAGGTAAATATTCTTATAACAACGAAGCGTTCTTACTATTTCCACTTTGGGGAATAGATCTGTACATCAAAATGTTTTAATCCCTTGGCTGCTTAAACCCAATAGAGCTTGTTAATAATAATATTATCAGGAAGGAATAACACAATAAATCAAACTTGGTTATTGTTGCGTTTGGACATCTTTTGGCTCTAGACTAATTGTTTTAGTTTCTTTTTCAGTCACATAACAATAGAAGGTAAACCTAATAGATGTTGCATACTACCTGAGTAGGGGTGCATTCGGTCCGGATATGCCTCGGATATGATGCTTACCGTATCCATATCCGCTTACCCATCTTGGATACGGATGCAGATATACGTCGGTAAGGAAAATTCATAACCATATCCACTAAAATCGAATACGGTTACGGATATACATGTAGATATATAAGCAAACATGCATGCGGATACAAAACGGATATAAGAAAACTAGATATTATTGAGCAAAATATAGTTTATGTGATACAAAAGAGTTCGTTATATGTTCATTATAACTGAAAAGTTAAGATTAGACATCTTGATCATCAAAATTAACCATAAATTCATAATTTAAGAATCGAAACTATCGTAAGAGTATGACTAATATGTATTCGGATAGGCCTGTCCATTTAGCCCCCGGTCCTGGACCGGTGCCCGGCCCGGAATAGTTTTTTTTTATTTTTTTAAAATTTATATATATATTTATAAGTCTATACAAGTATAATATATGTATATGTATATGTATGTATATGAATATGTATATGTATATATATGTATATGTTTATATATGTATATGTATATATATTTTTATAAATACAATTTGTTTATGTAATTTCTATAAGTATATACAATTTGTTTATGTATAATATATGTATATGTGTGTATATATATATATATACATATACATATATAGAATGACATGAATAATTTGGGCTACTTAGTCTAGTTGTAAAATTTAGGAGTTTGGAGAGTAGGTTAGTGGTTCAAATCCTAGCCACAACATATATATTTAGAGTTCTTTAATTGGGCATTGGGCTCTTTGAATTATTCAATTATTTTTAATTTTTTTTTTTGTCTATGAATTCTACAAGTATATATATGATCCCCTTTGAATTATTCAATTATTTTTAATTTTTTTGTTTCTATGAATTCTACAAATATATATATATATTATATATATATATATATATATATATATATATATATATATTATATATATATATATGAGATTAATGGGTATCCTTGTCATAGGAGGGGATTTCCTCCTCGACGCCTCTAAAATCACATGATTGAGCGAGATTGTGGATGATCGCCTCAGTTAAACTTGATCTGCATATTCTAAAACCCCAACACACCAAGTTTGGGGTGAACCCGTCGTCGTTTGATCCTTCATCCCTCGTATCAATTTTAACGGTTTTGAATAAATAGAACTTTTCACATGGCTCGATGGAGGGTCAAACGACGACGGATTCACCCCAAACTTGGTGTGAGGGTTATAGAATATGTAGATCAAGTTCAACGGAGCGGATCATCCATAATGTCGCTCAATCATGTGTTTTAGAGGCGTCAATGAGGAAATCCCCTCCTATGGCAAGGATACCCATTAATCTATATATATATATATATATATATATATATAGAGGAGAACTTGTGTCAACTTACTGTGATAGTGAATATGTGTGTCCACCAAACTTTATATCACTCATTAACATATAAAAAGTCACTTCATATCATGCAAGGATCCCTAGGAAACATCACAGGGTTAAAAAGTTTGGTGATGTCCACTTAAGTGGACACAAGTTTTGCTCTATATATATATATATATATATATATTATTCTCTCTCTCTCATGTTATAACTTTAAGTACATATAATATTTTTATATATAATATATGTATATATATAATAAATAGCTATATATATAATATATAGCTATATATATATATCTCTTAGCATAGTAACGTATTTATAAATACGTAATATATGTTTATGTGATTCTCTCTCTCTCTCTCATGTTATAACTTATAAGTATATACAATATATATATATATATATATATATATATAATATATGTATATTATATATATATATATATATACATATATATATATATATACATATATATATATATATATACTCTTAGCATGGTATAGTCGTAGAGATACAGATACTAATATATAAGAATATAAATATATATAATATAGTTATAAGTATACTTATATGTCATATGTATACTTATATGTCATATGTCTATATTATAGAATTACAGTTATATAAGTATATTGTATAACTGCATAAGTATAATAATATATAAGCATCTAGTATATATAAAAGTATATCATATAAGTAAATTATATAATTGTACTTAAAATAAGCATAATGTAAGTATGTAATGAATACATACATAACTACATAATACATATTTATAAATATGTAATATACATTTATGTGATTCTCTCTCTCTCTCTCTCATGTTATAACTTATAAATATATATAATATATTTACATATAATATATGTATATATAATGCATAGTTACATAATAATTTGTAGTATATACTAATACATAATTATATAAATATAATAAGGTTAAACTATTTTTAGCAAATTTTTATCAAAAAAAAAGAGGAGAAAAAAAATGAAAAAACCGGCCCTGCCTGGGCCCGGTTTTCCGAACCGGCCCGGATGGACACCTCTATATTCGGATATTTCGAATACGGATACAAATATTTCACTACAAAATCATATTCGTAACCATATCCTATCGGTTATGGATTTGAGTAACCATATCCATTTTCTAACGGATACTGTTACGGATATTTTCTCAGATATGGATACGGTTTATTACCCCTATACCTGAGTGATATTTTGATATCATATTTGTTGCCTTAGTAGATGATTAACGCTCATTGTCAACTATTTCTGTTCTTCTTATCCAGAACTTGTTATGTGTCTTGACCATTTGACTATGTAAGTTGACTTCGACACTCCAGCTATGGGTAATAAAATACGTTGGGTGTCTGATTTTTATCATTAAGAGATGCATTTCTTTTGTAGAGTTTTCATGACATACCCTAACAAATATGTGGAGAAATAGAAAAGCCAAAGTTGTTATTCATCTAGCCCTAACCTCTCTTAAATAGATATTACAAGAATATTATAAAATAGGTATGAGATAAAATCATATCTAATCACATCTCATAATCTTATTATATCTCCTAAATCTAAATATCAATAGTGTCTAACACTCCCCCTCAAGCTGGAACATATATTACTATATGTGTCTAGCTTGTTACAAATGGGAACAAAATAGGTAGTTGCAAGAGCTTTGACAATGTCATCTTTGTCCAAATACCCAAAGACGTTAGCAATCAGAAAAGTATAGTCACGGCCTCACGGGCAGTAGAAACCCTATGCTGGTCAGCCAATAGAGAGAATAGTACCGTGATTACCCGTGATGAACAATGTTGTTTTTCCCTTTTGAGATTGAGTTTTTTCAAGGGTAGGGCTTTTTTACTGATTCAATAAAGATTTAAAGAATAAATGATGTAAAAATCAACGATTTTGTCGTAGTCGCCGAGGAGATCATGAATGACATGCAAAACCCCCCTCGACGGCCTCAAGATCTAGAAAGATGAGAGATTTTGCTAGGATCGAGTAGGCTCTGATACCATGTGGAAAAATAGAGAAGGTGAAGTTATTATTCATCTAATCGTAACCTTTCTTAAATAGAGATTAGAAGAATATAATTAAATAGGTATGAGATAAAATCGTAGGTAATCACATGTCACAATATCACATAAAATCGTAGGTAATCACATGTCACAATATCGCATAATATCTCCTAAATCTAAATATCAATAATATCTAACAAAATAAAAATAAATATTTAGCAATTTTTTCTTTAATGGAACAAGCTATCATGGAAATGGAAAGAGAAGTTACTTAGAGATTGGAACTCCCTAGGTATGACTTGAGAATCTATTGTTATGCTTACATGCACAGAAATTAACTGGAGGTTCATTTTGTACCATAGTGACACGGTATGTGGTGCATAGGGGGTCATGGTTTGAATTTGGGTATGCAATTCACTACTTAAAAAATTTAGATTCGAGGGTACACAAGTTTGATATGTGATACATGGAAATTTTTTGGGCGCACTTACCCTTTTTTCGAAGTGTTAGTAGAGAACTAGATAATAGAAAGCTAATTATGCATTTCAATATTTTTTTTTCAAATACTTTAATTTTTCATTTTGAAATTTTCTGAATATGTAAGACAAAACACATATAAGTTGTATACCAAACCCCTTAATAAATTATTTTTCCTTTCCAACTTTCTTCACCTAAGCATCAAATGCATCTTCATCCAACTCGGAATCCTAACAATTTCAAGTGAAAACTGATAAGTATGTTCCTTCATGCTTGTTCGTCTATTATGTATGCGGTGTGTGCCTTGCTTCACTTGAATGCGCACAGTGCATTGAGCCTCACTCATGAGCATGTAAAGGGACGTCGCGCACCACATACTTCATACTTGTTAGAGGAATGCCAATTTTGGGGAACCAATTCATATATCGGAGCGAATTTGTTCGCAAATGTACTGAGAATCGGTTTGTAGGAACTGTTTGAAGGTTTTTTTTTTTTTTTGGGGGGGGGGGGGGGGGGGGGGGGTAAAAAAAAACAAAAACTAAGCATAATGTCCCTCTTGCCAGAAAGCTCAAGTCAGCGAACCACTCTCAGCAGTTTCTATACGCATACTCACTAGCTTGAGGACATGCAATAAAAGCATGCAGATACATCACACTTCTAAATCTAGGATACATATAACACAGACATAAAAAGACAAGAGCGTGCACATCATGTGCATATAATTATGACCATTACAATTCAGGATTCATGTGACACATGTAAGATCGCTACAACAATATAAGAGTACATGTGCATACAATTATAAAGATGGAAATTCAGGAAGTACGAAACATGGGTAAGACAAATACAACAATATCAAAAAATTTATCCATCCATCTGTGAAGTTTGATCAATGACATAAAAAGACAAGATGCGTGCACCATCTGTGAAGTTTGATCAAAGACTAATACCCCAATGTGCATGACACAGAACTCCAGGGAATTGCATGACTATGTTTTGTACCATTCTTGTTGAATTAGAATTTAAGCTCTTGCTTCATACTTAGCCTCTTCTCATACTGAAACTTTTCTCACCTAAGCAAATTCGTAAGGACCATTGAGTTAGTTATTTAATCTCACAATCCATAGTGGCATCACTTTCGACCTAAGTGTACACAGTTCATTTCAGGAATGGAGAACATACCACGACGTACAAACCATTTGTAAAGAACTTAAAGAGATAAGTTAATGATTTATTTAATATTTTAATGTGTGTGAGGACAAAAGATGGGATATTAGACCCAGTTTGATTTCAGAACCCTACTGTCTGCTGCCTTTTTGGTGGACACCATCCATCTTAGAAACGATTCATGTTACCTTTTTTTTCAATATGAAAGATTTATCTTGTATTACGAGCAATCCTTATATTCTATATTCTTATCCATGCAGATCATTTTGATTGTATGCCAATTTGTAGTCTTGCTGCTTTTTATTTCTTTGGTGTAATCTCTTGTTGTGAATTCATTTAGGTCAGTGCTAATGTTGATTTTTTTTCTTGAAATATTGGGATATTTTTGTTTATATAAATTCACATACTTCAATATGGTCAATTTGTGTCTGTTAAGTCAGCACATTTACATATACCCATCCAGTTGATGCATATCTCTGGTGTGACTTATTTGTTTGTGCCTTAAATTATTACATTTACTCAGAACCATGCTTCCAATTCAATCGTCTCATGGAAAAGTGTTCTCATCTTTGCAGCAAAGTTCACAATCCTAGGACTTAGAAACAATGAATTGAAATGCCTCAACAACTTGACTGTTCGTCATTTTATATTCATGGCCTCTTATTTTATGTAATGAGAGTATCAAACTTGCAATATGGTTGTTGTTATCCTTCCAACAAGATGTAATATATTGTTAATACAAGACACATGAACTCATATTTGATGCTTCTAAAATAATTCTCATCTATTCTTTTTCAAAAATTATCTGTACTGGACTATAATGTTAATAGATCATATCAAAGCAGTTTCTATAAATATATAACATCATATCTTTTATGCTTGTCTTGTCTTTTATTAAAAAAATGAAAGCTTCACCATGTGGTAGGGTAGCCCAGCACGAGGCTCCCACCATTGTGAGCTCTGGGGAGGGTCGGATGTATGCAACCTTACCCCCGCATGCGAAGAGGCTTTTTCCAGGATTTGAACCCATGACCTCCAGGTCACAAGGCAATAACCTTACCGTTGCACCAAAACCATGTGGTGCTCTGTTATTTTTCCGTATTCTGGTATTTAGTTTTTGCTCAGTAGCAATGTAGCATGGGTATGTAGTGTGAGTATTGTCTGATCATGTTAAACATGTTTAAAGCACATCCATAATAAAGAAGAAAGCAACAAGCCTCGACACACTTGAGACATTAGGTGTTGCATCTTTCAGTTGAGCAAGTTTTATACTCAACCGGTCAAATTTGATAAACATGATCCATTTTTTGTTTTCATATTTTTCTTCTGCTCTTTCAATAATTTAATAACTGTGTAGCCCAAGTATTTATCAGGAGCAGCCATAGTTTTACTACATTTATAAGAGGTAAGTTAAGGCGGTTTATAATCTTTTGTAAATTTCCGTGCCCCTATGACATAACAACAAGGCTTAAATGCATATGTTTATATTGTGCTGAAGTCCAAACTTTTTTCAGGGGCTTCTCTTCTTCAACTGGAAAACTGAGAAGCAATTCAGAGAAAAAGCAGAATACCTCTGGTCAGAATCTGATTGGCCACAAGATGAGTGGGGTGGCTTTGAATGTAAGCCTGTTCCTACACATAGTTCTCAAGGCATTGGTCTTGTTAACAAAAGTGGGTCACACCTCGGGTTGGGTGGAGGAACTGTAGGCTTGGGCTCATTAGCAAGACCAGGCATGGACTTTACCGGTGGTGCAGCATTTGGGATACCAGGTTATGCTGGTATAGGAGCTGCAGGCTTAGGTTGGGATGATCAAGAAGATTTTGAGCTTGTTGACCCTCCAGCAACAGTTTCAAACATAAGCACAAAAGCCTTATCTCATCATCCATGTAGGCCTTTCTTTTTGGTTGGGTCAAGCAATACACATATTTATCTCTGGGAGGTATGGGTCCTGTTTAGTAAATTATTTCTGGATTATGTAGATCATTGCGTCTTTAATATAAAAATTATTACATACCATTTTGGCTTGATTTTTTGGCCCTTTTTTCTGCCGCATATGGAAACTTCGGATGAGTTGTTATATGTTTTACATCCCCTGTGGTCAGATATTTATTTGGTTATTCTTTACCTTGATGTTCTGGCCCTCCATTTTGGGGAACAGTTGTATGTATGACTTTTTTTGCAACTTCTGTGTACTAAGATTTTTATTCCGCGTGAAACTATTTTGTTCGCTTTCTAACTTTTCTCCTTTTAATGTGTCAGACTGTCAGCTTTATCTTCTCTTGATCCTATTTGAATGCCAGTGTAATGTTGCTTCGAAATAGTACTCTAAACTTAACCAACACTTGAACATGTTCCCCTAAAGTTTAGCTAATAAGGGACTCACAGCTAACTCTTCCCATTTCTTACCAAGACTAACCATCAGTTTAATACAATGAACCATTTACCTTTTTTGGTCATGGCTATGCGAGGAACTCTACACTGCTATTCAACTATCCTAATACATAAAAAATTGGGAATATTTTAGTTATTATATGTATTGAAAAAAATGTTTTAAAATCACCTGCGTAACTTTGGTACTGGCTCTTTTTCTCAAGAAACATGGATACTGGATCTGTAAGTTTTCAACAGTTTTCTTCATGTAGTTTTCATGCTTTTCTCTGGTGTTAAATTTTTGCAGTTTGGGAAGGACAAAGCTGCAGCAACCTATGGTGTTCTCCCTACAGCCCATGTCCCTCCACCTTATGCGCTTGCATCTGTTTCTGCCTTGCAATTTGACCATTGCGGACACAGATTTGCTTCAGCTGCATTAGATGGAACTGTATGCACATGGCAACTTGAGGTCGGAGGAAGGGGCAATGTGTGGCCTACAGAATCATCCTTCTGTTTTAGTAGTCATGCATAGTAAGTTGTATGCACAAATTTGCATAGTGGTATGATTTGATTCTTTATGTCTAATGCAATCATAATGGTTTCAGTGATGTTGCGTATGTGGCTGCAAGCGGATCAATTCTTGCTGCAGCTGGACACAGCTCCAATGGTGTTAGTGTTGTTGTATGGGACACACTGGCACCTTCCGTCACTTCTCAAGCTTCAATTGTGTGTCATGAAGGTATAATTACATATGCTTATATATATATATATAGAGAGAGAAACTTATGTCAACTTAAGTGGACCATCCACCAAAGTTTCTATCCATTGATGATACCTAGAGATTCGTGCATCATATGAAGAGATTTTTCATCAATGGATAGAAACTTTAGTGGATGGTCCACTTAAGTTGACATAAGTTTTTCTCATATATATATATATATATATATATATATATATATATATATATATATATATATATATATATATATATATATATATAGAGAGAGAGAGAGAGAGAGAGAGAGAGAGAGA